TTCAGAATGAGGCTTCCCTATACTCTAGTGTGTGGTCCGACGACCGTACGGCGGATCTTCTCCGTCCCTGATTGGCCGCCCGTGCGTGCTCCCGCTCCCGCCTCCGCGTGCCCGCAGTGGCCCGGTCGCGGTCGAGCTCCCTCTTCCCTTCCCTTCTGCGGCAGCCAGCCACCCCATTACTTCAAACTTTGCATGTAGGCCGTAGTGGATATGGAATACAACATATCCAAATTAAAAGCGATAATTCCGCCGGGAAGGGGTTAAATTGTGGTGTCAAAGTCAATGAGTTGAGGTGCGATGTTTGATGGGGTAAGCCACCAACCCAACCAGACCCAACTATATATATATATTTTCACCCAGGCAACAGAGCGGTGCAAAGCGGTGCAAGATCAACAAAGTAAATAAAAATAGCAAAACATATAAGAAAACTGAAAGGCTTCATCCTGGAGTGATTTTAACCACAGAAAAACAAACATTCACACCAGATCAGATCTGTCAAGTTTCACACAAAGACACTGAATGAAGGAAATATATATATATTCAATGCACAAGACAGACCCAACATCGACATGGAACATCGATTATTTATCCACTGTGAATCATACCTCATTATCATATGCCGCCGGTGCAAGCACGCTGTGTGGCCAACAGAGATTGAACGGCATCTGAAAGGCAAGGCCCATCAGCTAAAGCATGCGGTGGTTCAGCAGATAAAGGAGAACATTGAACAGTGGGACAATGTGGCTCGAGATACTACACAGTTAACACTGCCCACATACTACACAGTTAACACTGCCCACAATACTGAATGAACCAATCCCGGAACTACCCATTCAAGATGGCTACAGGTGCCAGCGGGATCCCCAGTGTCAGTATGTGGCAGGGAACATGAACACCATGCGCAAGCACTGGCAGAACAAGCACAGCTGGTCGCCATATCCCAGAGGGAGCCGACCAGCGACACTCCATCAGCCCAGACCCCATGGATGAGCAGATGACTGAGGAAGAAGAAGAGGAGGAGGAGAAGGGACAGAGAGATACCCAGCCAGAAGAAGAAGATAAGTTCAAATCAACCAAGATCCAGATGGCATGTTTGGATTTTTGAATTGAGCTGCTGAACCAGCGGGTTCAGGTGGAGGATTATGAGTGCGCGCTGGTAGACGCGTTGGCGGTGCTGGGACGGGGGGAGTATGGATGGTGCGACGCGAAGAGCTACCCACCAATATTGTCACGGATCAAGAAGAAGATAAGTTCAAATCAACCAAGATCCAGATGGCATGTTTGGATTTTTGAATTGAGCTGCTGGACCAGCGGGTTCAGGTGGAGGATTATGAGTGCGCGCTGGTAGACGCGTTGGCGGTGCTAGGACGGGGGGAGTATGGATGGCGCGACGCGGAGAGCTACCCACCAATATTGTCACGGATCATCAAGGTGGCACGGTTATGCCACACGGTGCTCAACGACCAGGTCAACTATCCAACAGGTGGGGGTGGAATGGACGTCCATTCCATTTAGGGTTAGAAAACCTTAGAAAACCGACCAATCAGAGCAGGGCAGATTGGGCGTACATTCCATTTGGTTTCAGACGTTGAACGTCTAATCAACCACGGAGTCAATTGACTTCAAACTTTGCATGTAGGCCGTAGTGGATATGAAATACAACATATCCAAATCAAAAGCGATAATTCCGCCGGGAAGGGGTTACATTGTGGTGTCAAAGTCAATGAGTTGAGGTGCGATGTTTGATGGGGTAAGCCATCAACCCAACCAGACCCAACTAAATATCTATATTTTCACCCAGGCAACGGAGCGGTGCAAAGCGGTGCAGGATCAACAAAGTAAATAAAAATAGCAAAACATATAAGAAAACTGAAAGGCTTCATTCTGGAGTGATTTTAAACACAGAAAAACAAACATTCACACCAGATCAGATCTGTCAAGTTTCACACAAAGACACTGAATGAAGGAAATATATATATATTCAATGCACAAGACAGACCCCAGCATCGACATGGAACATCAATTATTTATCCACTGTGAATCATACCTCATTATCATATGCCGCCGGTGCAAGCACGCTGTGTGGCCAACAGAGATTGAACGGCATCTGAAAGGCAAGGCCCATCAGCTAAAGCATGCGGTGGTTCAGCAGATAAAGGAGAACATTGAACAGTGGGACAATGTGGCTCGAGATACTACACAGTTAACACTGCCCACAATACTGAATGAACCAATCCCGGAACTACCCATTCAAGATGGCTACAGGTGCCAGCGGGATCCCCAGTGCCAGTATGTGGCAGGGAACATGAACACCATGCGCAAGCACTGGCAGAACAAGCACAGCTGGTCGCCATATCCCAGCCGTGGCCGTACAGCGCCACAAAAGCGTACGGCAGCACAGGATGAGGTGGACAGATCATGCCAGAAGGTGCAGTTCCAGCAGATATTTGCATCGCGCAAGGGCTCCCACTACATACAGATCCAGACTAAGGAGACTACTGAGCATACCGGCACGCCAGACCAGAACAGAGCCAGCCAGGCCATTGATGAGCTGGAGCGATTTTACCAGGAACAGCAACGGCAGACCAGCAATATCATCCAGGCCGGGGAGCACGATGAAGCCAACCCATGGCTGCGGCGGACCAGATGGCCGGTGTACTTGACCAACATCGCACCCAATGATCTGGTCAACTGCGTCCAGCGGCCCGAGGATGACACCACGTGCCCAGATGAACTGGCCGCGAGGGCCATCTGGGAGGCCATGGGTCAGGTTGCCCGTACCAGCCAGCGAGTCATCACACGGCTGGGCCACTTCGTCCGCATCGAGGCCATCCGCACAGAGCGACACCAGACCCGGCACACCCCGTTGC